ATCAGGTAACAACTATGGAAAATAATGGAGATGAGCTCAAATAATGGTGATCAGGCAATTATTTTACAAAATAAGGCCTTCCTAGAAGAGTAGAGGCTTTTACTGCTGCAAAGGCAGGGCAAACTCCTTGTTAATATCCTTGATTTTGGAAGAAACATTGTATAAGAGGGACTTGGTTTTGGACATGAAGTAAAGCTAGTCTGACATTACCATGCCTCCCATGCACCAGTAGGGCCTGATTATTAGACTTAGCGTCTTTTGATTCATTTAGGATGCCTAATCCTGATTATATGACTTTAAACCCGATGACTTGCTCATTGACTGGAGCTTAGCCTGTAATTCATCGCTAGAACATGAGTTCGTGCTGCATGCAAAATGAGTGCTCATTCTTCTTTGTCGTGTTCAGTTTTTTGTGAAACAGTGTTGACAGTGCAGAGATGTGCTGTAAGAGGACTGGCATAATATGACTGACCACAGATATTTTTGTTTACTATAACTGCTGTAAGAAATCCACATTTTGGCAAATTCTTTTGTCCAATAACTGACCGCCTCAAATCTCCGATTGATTGTTGACCGGCAAGCCTAAAATTAAGGACAAATCTCATTCAGATATCGATTTTATAATTAATAGTTTGATTCTGATACCTGATTGGCTGAGCTGTGTTCTAAACCACTGTAAAATATTTGATATATGCACACTTATGAATGCACACTTCAGCTGAATACTGTGTTAATGCACCGAGGTGTTAAAAAGTCTTCCGTGTTTCCATATTAAACACACCCTATGTAAGAACCCAGTTTTCTTTAAACCAAGGGGCTGACAACTACAATATTTGATGAGCTACTGAAAGGTAATTATTCCAGTGTTTCCCAGACATAGGCTATCCCTGGCCCACTCCCCAATGTATATTGACCACCACCCAAGTATATTTTGTCACACTTAAACAATTTCCAAAAATCAATTCTGCACATGCAGTAAGAAAGCTCCCAGTTTACAACATATTTCTTTTTTATTCCAAACCACACACCTAATTCGTCTTAATTGAATATCCAATTAAGTAGAAAGAACACTGAGATGAGTTTGGGTTACCATATATATTTAGCAAAGAACATCCCCACCTGAACACACAAGTATATTTCAGACATTCAGTGGGAAATGCTGGTTTATGAAGTTCCAGTGTTAATTTACTACTTATTTCTAGCCCATAATTGCCATGACCTGAGCCAATTTTGGCATCACACCTCAGTGGCTCTCAAAAGCCATCACCGTCCACCACATCCTTCTGTATCTTGCACACCCATCTGTGATTTTACATTTATGGCATTTGGCAGACACTCTTATCCGGAGCAATTTACAATTTGATCGTTTTACATGGGTAGGCAAAAGTAGTGTTAGGAGTCTTGCCCAAGGACTCTTATTGGTAAAGTGTAGGGTGTTTGCCCAGGTGGGGATTGAACCCCAGCCTACAGCACAGAAGGCAGAGGTGTTACCCCTATGTTGTGGTCCCTTTGTGATAATTTTCTCACACTGCCATGCATCACACTTTCTCTCGAGAACACGGACAGAATACTTGTCTATCTTAGTGCTTGTTTGCTTTCGATAAGGCACATCATCGTAGCTGTGCTGTCATCCTCTGAACTCCTGAACACCACTAATTTTAGCTGCATGCTTCATTATTTAGTAGGTCTATATTGAATGAGTAGTTGCCTATTGCGACCTCATGCACACAATTCGAAAACGTTCCTCAACTGGAGCGATAAACCCACCTATTTATTTAGAAATTATTGGAAAAGTAAAACTAAATTAGATTAGTGCTTTTTAACTGATAGCATTGGTCAGATTATTTGAGCGTTGGTTCAGAGCTAGTCGTTTAATCGTATAATCATTTGCGTCCCTTAATTGCTGTAATTGGTAAAATTAATGGAAATTTCCATTAAACATGGAGGAACCAAAAAGAGATAATTTAGTGGGGTGGATGATTATTACACGGCAATGAGTAATTGAAAGCTCATGGCAGTCCAAGTGCACAGGAAATGCCTTTTCCTTTTCTGGAGCAGATGGGCCAAACCACAGGTTATTGCTACTTAATGCTAAGCCATGTTGTGAGCCATGTGGCCAGCAGCGGACAAGTAAGATGTGACCTGTTGCTTATTTTTTATGATAAATAATGTCAGTGCTGTGACACACTGACTGTTTTAGCTTGTCTCCATAAAGGTCAGTTTGAAACATGTTTATTACTGGGTACATGTGTGCAATTAGCTAATTCTGCACTGTCATGCAAAGGCCAGCGACCAAGAGCTTGAATGGAACCACTTGAAGAGATTAGCTGACCCAGTATAGTTTATTTACAGCTCCAATTCAAGTTTCGGAGTTGATTTAAATGCCATCTGATGAATGTTTTCAGCAGTTCAATATAGAACCCAGGCTAAAAGATAAGACAGACAGTGTGATATGAGTTTTATATGTTTTTCAGCATCTCAGCTTCATTCATTTGGAATAGGATTTGCGAGGTCCTTCAATATTTCTTCAGGACTGTGGTATTGGTTCATTGCATTTATCCTAATTGGAACTTCCTGACATCTGACAAGGCCAGTCTGATTAAGCTAATGCGCCTCACTTCAGAAGGGCTTAACTCATGTATGTTGGGTTTGCTCAAGTGAATTTGCTTAATTTGCGCCCATTCATTCCCAGCATTAACCCTTCCCAAGTACAATCATTGACACTACTCCTGATTACCTCATTGCCTCTTCTGCAGAGACAGCCCTTCTCCCACATGACACAGTATCAGTCTATAGGCACACAACTCATTAATTACATTCACTGATTTCTGTAAGACAGTACTCACAACTGTCTTGCTGGGTTAATTGAATTTGTGATGGGAAACGTCACTCTGAGACTAATTGCCCACTCAGATGCCTCTGGATGCAGCCCACTTGCTGCCAAGCTTGCTGGGTGCTCAGCATCCAGTTTGGATTGGCAGATGGCGCTACGAGCTGTTAGCTTCCATTACCACGACTCTGCTATTCCTTAATAATACTGCTACACAGAATGACAGCTAGTGTTATGCATACATATATACACTATATTTTCATGTACAAAAGTCATTTTCATTTGTTTTACTCAGATGGTACTTGCATGTAGGGTTGACACTATTGATTGTTGTAATTTTTTTGATGATTAATTGAGTAAAAGTTTTTTTAAAAAGGTCAAATAATAAAAATAGACTTTATTGAACAATAACAAATTAATACATATATGAAACATATATATGGATGTATATAAAACATTTAGTGTATCCACATTTTACTTTCATTACAGCCTTCATTCTTTTCAGGAGACCTGCTTTTGTTTTTTCATAGAAATCTGCAGGGATATTTTTCCACACCTCCAAAGTTCAGTCTTAGAAGTTGGTTTCATTTTCTGCTTCTCACAATCTAGTTAATCTCAAATGAGAAGACTAGGTGTGCTTGAGGTCGTATTACATGATGTATTAAATATGTTTGTACCTATCAGCGTTCATGATGCCTTGAATGAAGAATGAATTTCCAACTCCAGATGGTACACATGCCCAAATTTGAACTGATCCTTCACTATGCTTGACTGATGGTTGGAAACATGGTTCAAGGGGTCTTTCTTTGCCTGGGAGGCATACATACTGCCTTCGGTTACTTCCAAGGATCTGACGTTCTAGTGCAAATTTTCTTCTTTTTTGTCTATTTTTTTCTCAGAAATGGCTTCCTGACAGCTACACATCCCAAGTTTTGGTGGTCTACCACGTCTTGTGCAGTTGTTCCCATTTTCTCTGCGTCCCATTTTCTCTACATCTTTAAATCATTTTTTGGACTCCTGTTATGGTAACTAAGCTAAGGTGTGAGTGGGTGTGATTTAATCAGTAACATTTTCCTTAAATCAAGACATGAGGTTTAATTCATTAACTATGACAGTTCTACACACATACTGTGTCATTGTTAAGTAAGCTGAGGTCAGAGCAGAGGCAATACTAGGACAACAGCGGCATTTGCAGAGGTGAGAGACAAGGCTGGGAGCCATGGTGTACACAGAAATCTCCATGAGTGGCATCAAATGGAAGGGAGGGTGGGGGATTAGGCTGTGCCCTAATCCTGATGGTTCCTAAAAGCCCTCTGAGTCCTCTACAACCCTGAAGACTCTTGGAGGACAGCTTGTACAGCCACTAATGGGGACATTGGTAGGCCTTCCCGACTGTATCATGGACAAAAAAGAATGAGAGTGGAGGGGGGGGTAGGGTGTTGTAGTGAGACACTGTCCATTTTTTAAGTGGCTCCTGGATATTTCCCAGCATGTCATGCTCTCAGCTGGTGTAATGGTCAGCTCAATCCTTTCTCTGCAATAACTCCATTAAGATGTCTGTGGGTTATGTAATCTATACCATAATAGAGAATTTAGCTTAAGAATAACTCTCAAAGTCCTCTTAACTGGTTTCATCATAGTGGAATGTGGTTGGGGGCATTAGTGGTAAGGGCAGAATGCAATTGTGATAAAGATGAACATGATGAGGGATGGTTTTCCAATACTCAAGACTCAAATTGCCCCTCTTTCAGTGAGAGGAAAGACTGGGGTTATATAGCTGTTTTTCAGCTGTCCTACTTTTTTTATCTCTATTTCTTTGTAAAATTATGCAAGTTATTTGTTGCTGCGGTGCTCAGAATGTCTCCAGTGAGCCGATTGCTGAAGCTGTGTTTTTGGCATCTCGCAAATGCAGCAGGAATATGAGTCTTAATTTCTGTGAGACTTTAATTTCTGTGAGGCTGTAAGATATAACTAACTCGATGAATTTCTATATGTTTATTTGAATTGCTTGAACTGTAGGCTTAATTTGTTTATTAATCTTAATACTCACATATAAGTACTCTGAATTAACTGGTAAACAGTGTGAAACTAATTAGTAAGTTTTGTCATCAGGGTCTTTGGGTTTAAGGTTTTAATATTGACCTCTTCTTTTCTCGTCTGTGCTTTCCAGGGCTGAAGGTAGTGCTCATACTGAAGAACAAGTAAGAAATCAAACAGAACAACTACTAAAGCCAGGAAGCAATATGTACTGTGCTTACTTCACAGTCAGAATGTGTGAAGATTTCACAGTATGTGGTTAAACTCCAGCATCATTCTTGCCTGTGGTAACTCATGCAAACCTGAGATGAGTCAAGCTCTCTGGTGCTTAGACCGCTTGGCCGCTAGTTTGGGGCGGCGCCCGGCGGTCTGAGCCCGACGCCACTCCTCCTTCCTGCTGGCCAGCCGCGGGAACGCGGCATGGCCTCTCTGGACCTACCATACCGCTGTCCTCGCTGTGGGGAGCACAAGCGCTTCCGGAGCCTGTCATCGCTACGCGCCCACCTGGAGTACAACCATACCTACGAGACTCTCTACGTGCTGTCCAAGTCCAACAGTGTGTGCGACGCTGCTGCGCTGCTCCCCCTGGTGGCCGACAGCGCCCTGGCTGCTGAGTCCCGCTTTCCGTACCGTGAGCTTCCCTGCTCAAGTGACGAATCTTCCTCCTCCGCTGCCCGCTACCTTCCCAATGTGGAGTTCCCCCTGGGCGAGATACTCGTGAAGAAAGCCATGAGCTCTGCGGACGCTGGGAACGCAAACAACGCCGTAGCCGTGGCAGCCAACGTGGCGGCGAGCGCAGTGGAGGCTGCCTATGAGGAGGGCCTGGCAAGGTTAAAGGCCAGGGCCTTCGAGCGCCTTGAGCTGGACGAGAGGCTGGAGAAGCTGTCAGAGGAGGTGGAGCAGAAGATCGCAGCACGTGTGGGACGTCTGCAGGCTGAGCTGGAGCGCAAGAGCTCTGAGCTGGAGAAGGCCAAGCTGGAGAGTGAGAGACTGAGCCAGGAGAAGCAAGACCTGGAGGACAAGGCTTCGGAGCTGTCACGCCAGGTGGACGTGTCTGTGGAGATGCTGGCCAGCCTCAAGCAAGACTTAGCGAACAAGGAGCAGGAGCTTACTCACAAACAGCAGTGAGTAGAGCATTCTGGGATGTTCTTTTATGTTGGTGCTGCTGTTTATGATGAATTATGAGCTTGAAGTATTTGGGTGTTCTTGAAGCTGATAATGTTGCTGTACGTTCAGTTTCTCTCATGTCTCTAATAGTATTATTGAATAGCACGATAAATTGAATAAGCATCAAGGTTGGGCAAATTATTGTTCATTCACTCACTTTCACATGCAGAGCATTGTCAGCTAATTATCTATGCACATACATACCCAGAAAAAATCATAAATTTTCAGTCTGGCAAAGATTGCTGGGTTACATGCAACATCATATCTACTCTCTGGTAGAGCAGGGATTACGCGTAAATGGACAGAGGAAATGTCCAAAGAAGAAGAAGTGCGCCAACGCATTATCTAAACAAATGTGGGGAAGTATTATCTTCCAAGCTTAGCTTAAAATCATTTTCGATTAAGAATATACACTACTAGTTGAAAGAGTACACTTTTTAGTAGGGGAGTAACTACAAAATTCATAATTCAATTAGGTATGTCCCAATTTGCATTTTTCAATACAGCAAAATAATAGTGCTTGAAAATATGCCTTATGTTAGTAAGTGAAAGTTTTCATTTTTAGACTATTAGAACAAGAAGAAGAATTAGAAGAATTCAACGTACATTATTTATTAATAATACGCGAATATGTTAGCCCCAAACTAGTGTGTGTTTACAAGGAGTGTATATCTGTCCTGCTCTCACCTTGGAGATAAACAGGAAGCAATATTTTCAGATGAAAGAGGCTCTGCTCTTATTGTGGATCAGACCCTTGTTTAATTTTTATTATATGTCATGCCATATGAAGAGCATTAAATTGACTTCATTTGTTTGGGACTGTATGAATGAATGAATGTACTGCTCAAATCTTGTGAGCATTGAATTGAGATTTATATTGAATGATACATAAAATACTCCTAATTGCTAGTATTTATTAGTTATTATTGACACTGCTTTAGGATGTAGAAGTTCATTATCAGGTATTCATGAAGAAGTCTGTTACAGTGTACCATCTAAAAAAATAAGAGTTTCCAGAAAATTGTACAAGAAAAGTGAAAAATTGTCTCTAAATCTTTAAAACAGCCTAGGGGCCCCTTGATAACCTTAGTAACAGCTCAATTTGATTAACATCACTGAAACATTAGGTGACTTTATATGCTGACGAGCTTCAGACTGAGAATTTCATTGACATTTACAAGAACTAGCGTTAAGTGCGCCTACTCATACGTTTGATTAAAGATGTTTTGTAGGTATCAGCAGGTGGCCGTACAGTCACTTCCATTTCATTTGTACAAACCCAGGCAGACTTATAAAACTAGCTCTCTATTAGCTAAGCAGTTTTCCAGATGGTTAGGTCTTCTGTGCATGCTCCAAGCCCTCTTCCAGGGTCATTGTCTCAGATGCTCTCTACCAGATGTTTGCCTGCGCTTTGTTTAGCCCCACAATTTTCTTATTCAAGGCCACTCAGCCTGAAGAATGCTTTGAAGACATTTAAAGGCTCAGTGTCTGATGTTAGCCTGAATCAGATGTTACAGTTCATCAAGGCCATACATGCTTGTCGGGGAGGGAGGTGTACCAATATAAAGGATTCCTGCTGCTCCTGAGGAGTTAAACAGCAGCATGAACAGCTTTAAAATCTCTTATAAACTCACCAAAACCATCTCTTAGACCAAAAGCGGTAACTGTACTGGTCAGTGCTGCTTGTAGACACTCCTACATCGATCAGTGTAGCCGTCACACAGCAGCTGGTGCATACGTAAAAAATGTTTGCCACGTGTAAGAAGCATCACAAAGTCACTTCCTTTTGCCAGCCATGCTGTACAGCGAGCATGGGTTGGTGAGCTGCCTTTGTTAGACTCAGCAAAAGTGATTTTAGACTACAAAGTGTAAAGCAGGAGAAGAGGCTGTAGGACAGAATGACTAAACAGCTAAAAACTGGTTTCATAAAACTTTTTTTTTTTTTAAAGTTATATGTTATCTTTGAAGGGCTCATACAACTGAAGGGCTCATAACATAATAATAGTAATAATGGTAAGGGTAGCAGTAAATGAATGTTTTTTCCTGATATTGTAATGTCATTTTATTATTGATAAAATATAAGACAAAACTGAAGGCATTACAGTGTGTCGGCTACAGAATGTGCTCACCAACAGAGACTGGTTGGTCATCAAAGGCAATGAATTTCCTCATTTTTTAGTTAAACTAAAAAAGTTGCACCTCTGCGCTGTCATTTGTGATTTTTTTCCCCATTTCAAAAACTCAGGCTCCACATGGCACTGGTGTGCTCGCAGGATGTTTCCTTTCAGCTTCTGCTGTTGTGCTGTATTCTATATTGGCGTTTTGAAACATTGTGCCCTCTCTTGATACTCAGCATGAACAGTGATTACAAATCAATTGTCTAATGTCCCTTATAGAAACCATGAAATGGTTCCATTTTTTCTGCCACTGCTCAAATGTTTCTATTTAAACACATACACTGGAGAGAGAAAGGAAGAAACAGCTTTGTAATCGCTATTTCTTGCTGTTAATATCATTAAAACGATTTGTTAAGGGTTAGATTTTGACGCTTCATTGTAGTTTGAGGTGGGCAGTATAAAAATATTTTATCATTATTGTGATAAATTGTGGTGTCGTGATGAACAATATACTTCACAGAGCATATCGAGGGTATCAAATGTAAAAAAAACACTGGGCCCCTGCATGTTTCAGTACAAAGAGAGCATAATTACTCCTGTTTAGTTTGGATTTAGTGCAGAACACATTGTGAGATGTTAATAAAAATTGTTATATTCATATTTTTGATGGCAGTTTTAAATGAGGCACTACTGATGCATTGTGTCTGTGTGTCAAAATATTATGATGCATATTACATATTGTGAAACTGATGTTAAATATCATGATATGATATCGTTGCCATATTGTATTGTTTTTGTCTTTCAGCTGAAAATTCAAAGTGTCAGTTTTGGCCATTTTCAGCCTAAATGCTTCAGTGGCTAAAATTCAGTGCCTATATTTCAGTTATTCAGTTTATAAGGAAGTCATTTTTGGGTTATTTTGCTCTGTAGAAGTAAGTGACAGTAGTGCAAGGCCATCTTGTAGCTTTTATCTTACATTGCTTTGCTCTGGGGCTTATTCAGCTGTCTCATCTTTGGGTGTAGAAATGATAAAATCTTTCAATCTTTTGTCAGCGCTCTTTGTTTCTTTCTCACTCTACCCTTGTCTGACCTCTTCCTGACATTGCAGGCTTTGTGATGGCAGTTTTATCTGACTGCCCACTGCAAGGCTGCTGATGTCATTATACACACTTAACGCAGATGGAATGCTGCGGCCTTGTACTGTCCTGACAAGACTGTGTGCCAGACTCACTTTTTTGTATGTGCGCAAACCAGAAAAGGTCTAGCCTATTGTCAGCAGAGCTTTAGGCTGTGTTTTCTGTTCTCTGACGAGCTGCAGACAGCGCAAGCTCGGCATTCCGCTGGCCGCCTGTTCTCCTTTGGCTTCAAAGCTTGGCCAAGCCCAGCAAGAGAAGGAGCACATCATAGCCTGCAAATGTGTGGCTGACCAAAATGACTAAACCATGTGTGACAGGTCCCTAGCGTCTCAGCAGCTCCGAACACTTCACAGAGTCACTACAGTCGCAAAGAGAAAGAATTCCCATCAGTTTTGGGCTGCAGCATGCTGGGAGATTTCATTGCCTTGTTGACTCCCAATTTAGGCTCGCATCAATAGAGCGAGCCTCAGATCTCCTGATTTTAATGCATGCCAGTGTTTTTCACCTGACATCGTTTTCTGCTCGCTGTAGTGCAACCAAATTAAAATGAAGGAAATGTTTGCTCTGTCCTTGGATATGTTTCTCAGCCTCATATGTGCTCTTGGGCGTGTTTGGTTCTTTCTGTGTTCAAAAATTCAGCCTTTTTATCACTCAATGTTGATGTCTTTTAACCAGGTATGTGGATACACAGTTTAATTCATTACATATCTTACAGCACTAAATCAGAGACCATTCTTTCATTAATTGAATTTACAGCCAAAACAGTAATTAAATTTTTCAGGGTCAGGAAAAAATAGAAAACATATTTATCAGAAAATTACACAGAAGTCTTAACAGGTATATATTTTATGTAAGCTGTCAGCATTTATTGTGTCCAACCTTTGCCTGTGTTACAGCTTCCATTCCTTTTGTGAGACTTGCTTACAGTTTTTCAAAGAAATCTACTGGGATATTTTTCCACCCCTCTAAAGTTCAGTCTTAGAAGTTGGTTGCATTTTCTGCTTCTCAAGACCTAAATGATTCTAATTACACATTTAGACTCGTCAGTCTTTAATGCCTTACTCTAGTTTCAGTGTTGCAGTGCAAATTTTCCTTTTTTAAGTATCAGCTTCTTGTCCTAATATAATAATCCTTTCAGACCCCCATCGTTGAGTTTTCTTCTCACAGTGGAAGGATGAGCTGAAACACCTGTGGATGTTTTCAGGTCTGAAGCAAGAGTGGAGCTTGATTTTCTCCTCTCTCTCAAATATGAACAAATGAAGTGCTGTTAAACTGGTGGTAAGAGTTGTGGTGGTCCTATTTTTTCTCTATAACCTTTAAGATTTTTTTTAACTCAAGTGTTGGAAATGTGACGTAGGGGCTGAGGCAGGTTGCAAGTGTGAAGTGACTTTATTAGGGGTGTTCCGATACTCATTGTCATGACAGGCAGGGTGCAACACACAGGTAGGAAGGAAAAGATGCAGATCCGTAATAAGACCAAACCAAGACAGTAGCATGGTTCAAAACCAGGAAAAGCCAAAGACAAGAAAAAGGCCCAGACTAAGGTATAGAACACAGAGACTTCACAAACACACAGTCGAAACAAAGGGGTATATGTAGCAGTCTTAATGAGTCCAAAAGGAGCTGCAGGTGTGTTGGAGGGGAGGAGAGTGGGCAGAGCCAGGGAGAGTCCAAGTGGAGTCTCCCCAGAGGGGGGGGTGACAG